TCTCTATAATCTGTATAGTATCAAGAATTCTAATAAAGTATTAGTATAACTGCTTAAGTTAAAAAAAAAATTATATATATAAAATTTTTATATCTTTAGCTTAAGTTAAAGTGTAGTTAAATTTTTAGCATAGGTTTAAAGTGTTAGTGATTTTACTGAAATAGTTATGAATAAGGTGTGCTTTTTAACATTTTTATTTTTTATTTTTTCTTTTTATAACTCTTTTTAGTTTAGTTTAGTTTAGTTTAGTTTAGTTTTTTTTTTTTTTACTTCTTTACAAGAAAGTATTATTAGATTAATAATACTCTATTGTAGAGCAGTAGTTAGGAATAACCTTCTAATAACTTGTTATTGCCTAATATAATAGTTTGCTTCTATGCATTCTTAAAAGCAATTAGAAGAGTTAAAACTTAGAAATTAAGCATATAATATTAGCAATAGTGTTAATATTTTCTTAATAAAAGTATACTAGCATAATTACTTAAGTGAAAAAAAATATTAAATTATATTTAGTAATATTTGTATTAAAATATAAGTTAAGCTATTTTTAGTTGTTTTAAAGTTTAAATTATTTAGCAAATAAGTTAAGCAATAAGTTGATTAAAATGAGATATAAAAATTTTAATAAAATATTTTTTAATAAATTTAACAAGTATAATAAATTTAACTTAATCTAAAGTAAAATCTAAAAGATTTTTTTTAAAATAAAAAAATATTAAATATTTTTTATACTATTAATATTTGTTGTAATATAAGATATTTAGTTAGACTAAAAGATTATTTATTTAAACTCTTTAATCATTTGTTTTGTTAATTATATTTTGCTATAAATCTTTTATATATATTTATATATATATTATCTAAATAGTATATATATTTTTTTTTAAATTTATAATTCAATTGTTATTTATTTTAAAAACATATTATCTAATAATAACTTAGAAGTCTTTTTATTAATTAATTTATCTATTTTACTTCATTTTTTTGATGTTAAGATGACCTCTTTGGTTTTTTAATTTTTATTAATGACTTTTTTTGATAATGTAATTTAATAAACTATTACAAGAGAGCATACAATTGGTTACACATATAACTTTTCTATATTATTTATTTAAAAAGTCCACTTGAAGGTTCTTTATCAATTGCTGTATCTAATATTCTTGCTTAGATGTTTTACTATAAACTTTCTGAATTTGCAATTTGTATTAATCTTACTAGGACATATTCAAATTCTTAGATCATTGTTTTAATCTTATAACTATTTTATTTTTAAGATAAACTTTTCAAATTCTTCTGTACTTATTTATATAACTGACTTAGATATTACTATGGCAGAACTAACACTTGTAATTAGAGTTATATTATTTAACCACTATGTCTTTGTAGAGTTTATACAGATTTTAGCATCTACTTTACAGTATATTCTTAGTACTTTAGTATACTTCTGCCTTTTGTTTAGCTTTTTGTTTAGACTTCCAATTCAGATAGCCTATATAGAACTATAATTAATCTATCAGTATATTGGGTTAGTTTAATATCTTTTTTCTTTGATTCATTTTAGTAGTCTGATTGGTAGTACTTTTAAGACTCTTAACTTGAAGGTTTTCACTATCTGAGTATTACAATCAGGTATTATAAGCTTGATATCTATTTTCTTGACTAGCTTTTACAGTAGAACTATCAAAGATTCAGCTACTTTTCTACTTAGGTCTTCTTAAATAAACTTTTTGTTACTTAATTTTAACAAATTTATATAATCATAAGAACTTATTTAGTGTTTATACTATCTTATTTGTTAGTTTGCATTTCTTTGTATAACTAGTTATACAAATGCCTTATAACTTGCCAGTTATACTAGTATGATTATCATTACAAATATTTTAACTTAATTGTTAATAGTAGTTGCTATAATACAAATATTATATAAGTGATTATTTAAATTTTTGCTATTGATAAAATTTGAACTCCCAATCTACTACTTGAAAAATTAATAATCTGATCACTTTACTATATTATCACACCCTATAATTTATCTATTTTATAGTTTTATTAATAAAACTAAACTCTCACAGAATTTATTTAAATCTTTAATACTTTTAGAATATATATATTTTTTTAGACTATTAATTCAGATAGTTCAAAATAATTATAACTTATTTTTAATATATTAAATTTAACTTAATATTTTTTTTAGCTTAAAATTTAACAGTCTAGTTAGTAATATCTTTTATTTAAAGATTTTTGTCCAACTAATTTTTTTATATTAATATTTGTGTTTTTTTTTTTAGTATTAAAATGACTTTTTTAGTTTTTTAACTTTTATTAATAACTTTTTTTGATAATATGATTCTATAAACTATTACAAAAAAGTATACAATTGGCTATATGTATAACTTTTTTATATTACTAATTTAAGAAGTTTGTCTAAAAGTTTTATTAATTGCTATAGCTAACATTTTTGTTTGTGTATTTTATTTTAAACTCTTTGAACTTGCTATCTGTGTTAACATTACTAAATTATGTCTAAATACTTAAATTATTGTATCAACCTTAGAACTATTTAATTTTTAAGATAAACTTTTAAAGCCTTTTGTACTTATTTTTACAGTTAACCTAAATATTACTATAGCAGAACCAATACTTGTAATCAAAATTATGTCTTTAACTGCTATATTCTTATAAAGTTTATTTGAATCTTAGCATCTATTTTATAGCATAACCTTAGTACTTTAATATATCTCTGCCTTTTGTTTAGACTTCCAATTCAAATAGTTTATATAGAACTATAATTAGTTTATTGATATATTAAGTTAGCCTAATATCTTTTTTCTTTGATTTATTTTAACAATCTGATTAGTAGTACTTTTGAGTCTTCCTTAACCTAAAGGTTTTTGTCTGTCTAAGTACTATAAATTTAGTATTTATTTTTTTAAGCTAGCCTTTACAGTAGTACTATCAAAGATATAACTATCTTTCTATTTTAGTTTTTTCAAATAGACTTCTTGTTACCTAATTTTAACAAATTTATATAGTCTCAAGAACTTATTTAGTGTTTGTACCATCTGATTGCCAGTTTATATTTTTTTGTATAACTACACAGATGTCACATCATCTGCCAATTATGCTAGTATAACTTTATTACAGATATTTTAATCTAATCATTAGTAAAAGTTGTTGTAATATAAATATTATATAGATGATTATTCAAATTTTCACTATTGATAAATTTGAACATCTAACCTACTACTTGGGGGTTAACAATCTGACCACTTCACTAGGTCATTATACTTTATTAATATCTGCGTTTTAAATTTAATTTTTGCAGTTATATTATTAAAAGTTTATATATTTTTTTATTTAAGTTTTTCTAAATAGATATTTGTTTTTTTTAGGTTTACAAATATATATAATTACAAATCTTATTTTAAGTTTGTATTATTTAGTACTAGTTTGTATTCTTTTGTATAAGGTTGTTAATAAAGTAATATATTCAAAACAACTTTAAAATAAATCTAATTCAAGTTAAAATAAATTATAAATATAAAAAATATTTTAAAATAAAACTAAAATAAACTGAAATAGTTATAAGCAAATTTAGAATAATTTTAAAATAACTTAGTCTATATTAAAATAAATTAAAAACTATTTATTTTAATCTAACTTACTCCAACTCAACTTATAAACTACTTTATTTTTGTATAATTAAAATTATACAAATATTTTATAATCTGTTAGTTATGCTAATATAATTATAATTATAAATATCTTATTTTAACTAATTAATAAAAATAATTGTTATAACATATGTTTTTTTAAAATTTTATTTCTGATAAGTTTTGAACTTACAATCAGTTATTTGAAATTAACAACTTATTTATTATACTAAGTTATTATACTCTTAGTAATATTATTAAAAAGATTTTTTAGAATAGTTTTTTAGTTTTATTATTTTTAATATAATTATTATTACAATTTGTTATAATTTTAATATTTTTTTTTTAAGATTTTTGTATTGATTCTTTTTTTACATATACCTTTTATATGATATTTTGTAATTTTTATTTTTTTTATATTAAAAAAAATCTGTAATTTTTAAGATTTTTTTTAAATAATAATGCATTAATATTTACTGTTGCTGGTTTTTGCTATCTTTTTGTTTAACAACTTTTATTATAAGATACTTTGCTAACAAAATTACATTTAAATTTTTTAAAAAAATTATTAATTAATTGCAAATTCAATAAAACAGCATTTTCTTTATATTGAAATTAATAATATAAACTTTATTTAATAAAAACTAAAAAAATATTTAATATTGCTAAATATATTTTATTAAATTTATATAAATTGTTAACTTTTAAAAAATATCCTAATACATAAGACTTACTTTCAGCTTTTTTATAACATGTTCTATATAATAGTTCAAAATTTTAATTTAAAATATTCTCAATAAAAGATTGATTATTCAAAAATATTTTTACTTCTTCCAGAAAATACTCCTTCTCTTATTTTATCAATCTTGCAAAAACTTGTTTAGATTTCAATTTTTAAAAATTTTTAGAGTAGACTATAAATAAAATTTAAAAAAAAAATTTTTTTTAATGTTTTTTATCCTTTTAAAGATTTTATATAATGTAGTAAAAAGATTTGTTGTACCTGAAAGAAAATTCTGTGTGCTCATACGTATGATACACATAAATGTCATGTCATACCTTGGAATAGGTGAATATGTTTTTTTTGAAATTTTAAGAAACAACCCCGTTGTACTCTTAAATTCAAATGCATGATGTAATGCTGTCATTTTATACTAAAAAATAGTAACAAAAAAATAATTTAAAATAGACATCTTATTATATGTTTATGCAAAGGATAAAAAAAAAGATATGATTTGTTGTCACAAATTTCAGGGCTGAGATAAAAGAGGTCCCTAGATTAATGAATTAAAAATGGAATAGGATCACGATGATTGCAATGATAGTGATTACGGAAACTATGGAAAACTAACCAATTGCCGTATTTGCAAAATCTAAACCATGCTTTAATTTTTTTGCAATTCCAAAGTCGCCGAGCTTAACAATCGATCGATCTGATATTTTTGGCTTTAATATCTAGTTTTTTTTAAAGCCAAAATTAGAAATTTCAAATTTAAAAAGGTAACAGCAGTAATAAATGGCGTTAATTTCGATCATTATACAAGTCTTAAAATTGACATTACCTCTATGTAAAATTCGATGATCATGAATATACTTTATGGCCAAGCATAATTGAACGAACCAATCCAGTATTTGATCTTCTTTAAAGAGAATACCAATTCTCCGTTGGTTTTGAATGATCGCATAAAGGTCCCCTGTTTCATATAGTTGTACAAATGAACGAAAATCGCGTGGGTATTTGAAAAATCCAGTCGCGGAATAATAGTGGAACGGATCGACGACCACGCGTGCACATATGGAATATATTTGGAAAATCATAAACATTAGTAATATCGATATTACTTGAATGACAATACGTGAAAAAAAAGTTCAAAGCATAATTACGAAATATGGCATTAAATTTTTAAAGAAACATGAAGCTTACCATCATCCATGTACTCGGTTACAATATTTAAGACCCGATATTCTTGCGGGAGGACAAGTTTCCTTTCTGGTCGGTTATTATATTAAGAGATTGAGTATTGTAAAGAATTGATAAAATCGTTGGATTTATCGTTATTAGTAATGAGACCATTATGATCTTCCCAACTTTCGACAAATTTGACAATTCCAAGCCAATTTAATTGGTTTAACAATTCAACTTCACACCTCGCTTCTATACGATTCTTTGCGTTTTTAAGTTTCGAAAGGTTAATTTCTTTTATGACATTTGACCGTGACATGTCAGTCTTAGAGCGTACGAGGACGCATCTACCAAAAGTTCCATGACCTATCGTACGTAAAGGAGTATAAGAACAAATTTGCTCATCGGGACGTCGAAACATTTTTATCATATAATCTAAAAAAGGTTTATAAGTCGAAGACAATTTTATAGTGAAAGGAAGATGGGTCATGAGACTTTAAGCTTAGATAACATATTAACCGAATTAATATTAAAACAAAATTAGATCAGCTTATTTGATTAAAGTATTGATTTAAAGTATTGATTAAAGTATTGATAGTAACAATGTAAATTAAACGACAGCATCATTATTGAAATGAGAGTTTCCAATGTTAATGGGAAAATTTCCAAGAAAAACCAATTGTTTCAATATCACCGGATTAAAGCATGTGTGGACTACTTTGCAGAGCCGAATCCGTGAAGTAAATGAAAATTTATAATTTTTTTAAGAATATTTTTTTTCTGATTTTTGTTTGATGACATGTTAAATTAATTATATAGTTTGAGTTCGGAAGGATTTAAGGTCGGAATACTGGTAGGGAACACCAAAATAATGAAGAGCAAAAGTCAAATACGCAACCGACAACATTTTGAAAAGTTATTAATAACTTGAAATCGGCAACAATAAGAAATAATAAGAAACCTTTATTAGGACAAATTGAATATCAAGCTGTCAAAGAGACCATCAAGCAATGAATTAATAATAAATTAAGGGAGGGGTTGATTGACAGTTTACAGCTTTTTGCAGATCGAGAAAATAACAATGGCAAAAAAAGAAAGACATCATGATAATATTGTTGACAACTAAATTACAGTACATGCATCAAGAAGAGTGAAAAGCAGTCAATATTAATGCATGCAATTAAGCAGAGAATTAAAAAGAAAGGACTGAGAGAAAAAACTAATTTATTTCTTAAGCGCGTGTTATGTCAATCACCTATTTTTGAAAAAGAAAATCCCGACGAGGAAATTGCAGGAACAATGAAGCATAATACAAAACCCTTGGCACATTGCGAGACATTACAATTGATCAAATGAGAAATTTATCATATGTTTCAATGAAACTTGTGCGTGTAATGTAATGTAATGTCTGATCAGAGGAAAATACAACTAGGTTGATACAAAATAGATGGTTTCTTCGAAGATGGAAACTGCAGGGAGTTATTTGTATTTGAGCAAATAATGTTGTGATATGAGACAACTGACTTTTTTGAATTTTGTTTATTATTGCTGCGAAGAAATGATTTTTGTTTGTTACTTTTTTTAAAGTTGTCGAGCGTTGGTCACGTGACACATGCCGTAATTTATTTGTACCGTAATGAAATGAAATAAAAGCAGAAATAATGAACCAACGACAATAAGGATTCAGAGAAAAAATTCCTATTTGAGACCTTGATTATTATTATTTTTATTATTTATTATTATATTATTATTATTATTTTGCGGAGGGTTTCCTTTGGAAATTTGGCGTTTCAGACAATGGTCTCCTACATCATGTCCTTTAAAATCCTTCATCTGTATTTGATGCATGCCCCAGATTGAAAATACATTGAAAAATGAGTACCCTTGCATTTTTTTTTTTTTACCAAGAATGAGGAAATTTATATCTCGGAGAAATACAAAGAGAATTATAGTCTTTGAACCGTGACATTAAAAAAGGTTCGTTCCAAAAGTGGAAGCTCATTTTGTTCATGTATTAAACTCCTGATATTGGTAGCTAAAAAAAAACTTTTTTTGACAAGATATCACAAACAATTTCATGCAATGAAATAATAGTGAAAATCCGGCTTAATGCTAACCTAGGCAAGTGGCGTCTTTACAGTTTCTTTAAAATGTAACATACCGTATCAATATATTAATGCATCAATATATGATATGAATCTTCGATCCATCTTCTAACGAAAAGCAATTAACATTGTTGAGAACATGTATCATTAAGAAATCTTTCATCCGCCACGTTTTATGACATAAAACCGGTTATATGCGCAGAAAATTTGATCAAAAGGTTAAAGCACAAGTTTACGAACCTGATTGCATTTATCTTTGCATCAACAGGTTAAATGTCACCTCATTTTCCAAAGAAATAAACGCATGATGTGATATCACCTTGACAGTTTTAAAAAAAATTATCCTTATATGCGTGCAGGAATTATTGTTTTACGCGCATGTATTCAATTGTTCGCCGATGATTTTTAGAAATTTTCAGCCAACATATAAGCAATAACATGCAAGCGCATACATTGATAAATTATGACATTGCATATACGGATAAGGGCCTCACTTGGTGTTGTCTGTAGATCTACCGGCATATATTCTCCACCGATGCATTATCCTACCAAATTTCTATCGTCACATTAATTTTCTTTGTTCATTAATTAACTCTTTGAATGACAAAGAATTCGAATCTTTTGAATTGTATTAAAAGTCTGACACTAACTTATTTTCAAACAACCTCCGTCAATTGTGTAAAAAAAAAAAACGTCTGCCACGTTTTTTTTTTTTTTGGAATCAAGTGTGTTAATTCGCATCATGCTCCTTATAGAATATACGGCGCTGAATAAACAAAAGAAACCAATAGTTCTTTGCCATATTTCTCCTTTTTTGGTTGAACTTAACAGCAGCTGCGCCACGGCTTCACACCCGATGCTAGCATTCATTTATCGACCAAGCCCCCATGCTTAGGATACATCTCCTACCGGTTATTACCTGATATACAATCACATCGTTCCGACACTGTTATGGTTTTTTTTTTTAAGAATAAACGGTAAAAATAAAAATAAAATAAAAAATCTTTTGTATCAAATTTAATTAAAGACCCGGTAAAAAGTATCTATCCTTGTTTCTTTTTTTTTCCAGGGATTTATTGACCTTATTTTTTATCAAAAATTTTTTTTTTCTGTTTACTATTATAGCCATCGATTTTGGTGATGTGCATACATAATTTGAACTTTTATGGTTCTCATTACAGCATTTTAGAGAGAAAAAAAAACCACAAAAAAAAAAAAAAAGAGTGCAGGCAAAGTCTTCGTTAACTCGTCGCAACCCGTAACCGCAAAATCGTAGTAATTCTTTTTTTTTAGTCGTTTAATCGGAAAGTGATCTGATAGTGTTTTTTTTTCTGCCCCACACTGCCACTCCCAAAATACAAAACTGTCACACATAACTGCAATAGTGATAACTCTACCGTTTGAAAAGTGCATGGTTTTATTGACATTATATATAAATATTAGAATGCCATATTTCTAAATAAACCTTTTATAATGTGCTGTGCTGTAGTGCGTCGCTCATCGGTTCCGTCCCCAAACTAAAAATTTCACTTTAAACGAAAAAAGGTCACCGGTTTGTACGAGCATAAAGCTCCTCTATGGTCAAACGTGCTCAAAATACACACACACACAACTCTTCCTCAACGACTTCGCGCACGCAACGAAAATTTTGTATTCGCGCCTTGTGATAAATGGGGAGCGTTAAGGTCCTATAAAAATTATATATATATATAAAAGCGTCCGGTTTTTTATGCCTTGTCTTTACTTCACTTTCATTTGCAACCGCCTTCTGTTAGCTGCTGCATAAACAAAGTACAAATTGTGGTGGTCTGTGTGTTTCGTTTACATACTTTACCTATTTGTTAAGAATCATTTCAAAAAAGAAAAAAAAAAAAAAAAAAACAATTCTGTGAACAAAACACAAATTCACGCACGTTCTTATACACGCACACATACCACACTTACAACCTTATCACACGCTCTCCACAACTCACACCTCTTTCTTTATTCCTACTCAGCCACCACCTCTCACTTCTTTTTCAAACTATTTCTTTTGTGATCTGTTGTTTTTCCAAATAAACTCCTACACAATATTTCTTGTAAAGACCGAAAAAAAAAGGTTTATTAAATATCAACAACCTCTTGGAACGAAACAACAAAATCACGTTGTAACCATCTGTCATGACAGCGAATGAGCACATTCGTAATACTTTGACCAGTATAATGCCTTCCCAATCAAACGAGATGTTATCTTATGAAGTTTTCGCTGAAAATCCCTCACATGTAACGAATTGTCCAGAGGGGGAGCCTCTCTTTCAAGAAGAAACGGGCAAGTATGATCTCGACACAGTATCGGTGTTTGTAGCAAAGTTATACCAGTAAGTTCTTTCTTCTTTTTAACCCTCTAAAGTACTTAAAGTATCTTAAGTACCTTAAAGTATTTTAAAGTGGTAATACTGTATAAAGACTAAATAAACTTTCGTGCAGAATAATTTCCGACTTGTCCTTATTCATTATCTTGTCTTTTTGAAGTCGAACTATTTAGTTGATTTAATTGATCTGATTCTTTAATTGTTATCAAAGATCGAGATTAACTTGGTTTATATATGTTATATTCTAGGTTGCTTGATGGTGACGAATATAAAGAATACCTTACGTGGAACGAAACAGGAGATGTGTTTGTGATTTGCAATATGGATGAATTTGCACAGAATGTTTTGCCAAAATTTTTCAAACATTGCAAATTCACATCATTCGTCCGACAACTTAATGTATGACATCTTACATTCTTTTGATTTATTTACCCAAGTCGACGTCTCATGATTTTCTTTTTTCAGATCTATGGATTTTATCGAGTATCAGATGCACGCAAATCAAAACATGTCCGTAGCAAACACGCTTGCGTATTTTCTCATTCACAATTCAGACGTGGTCGACAAGATTTATTACCAAATATACGTCGCAAAGTATCAAAAACTATAAGAAGGAAACCACGCCTGTCTGAATCTTCAATGTCACAGAATCAAGGAGAATCTGGGCCTACATCTTCGTCATCCGTTTATGGATCCCCTGTCAATAGTAAATCTGGAAGTATAAAAGACTCACCATCTCATTCCACCTTGAATCCTTTTACAGATTCCAAGGATTTTGTAGATAGATCTGATAACGATCATGCAATGCGTAAAAGGATTGCCGAATTGACGATGACTACCGAAAATTTGCGAAAGGATTTAAAGCATATGAATAGCATCGTCAATGATCGTTTAATTCCAGAAGTTCGTAATTTGACAGAGGATTTACAAAAGCATCATGCTCATGTTATACAATTGACCCAGTT